CTACTGCTACTGCTACTGCTACTGCTACTGCTACTGCTACTGCTACTCCTACTACTCCTACTCCTGCTCCTACTCCTACTCCTACTCCTACTATTCCTACTCCTACTCCTACTACTCCTACTACTCCTACTCCTACTCCTGCTCCTACTCCGCCGCCGCTGCTATTGCTGCTACTCCTACTCCTACTCCTACTCCTACGACCACCACCACCACCATCACCACCACTATATACTACCACTACCACCCTTACTGTGTCCCATCAAGTCCCCAGGGTGAACGAAAACTTCTTTTTGATCCCTATTGGTTGAGTAGGGGTCGGTAGCAAAGCCAGAAGTGGAGGTGACAGCACCTGGGGTTTGGTCGAAGCCGTCGCAGCCCTTCGAGGCAAGGCAGGGTCGACTGAAGAGTCAACTGAAGAGCGATGGTTGGGGACTCAAGATTTCCTGAGATTTGAACTCACAGTTTTCTTCCAACATGCTGAGCGTTGCCTGATCTGCCCAGTGTGAACTGCTTTGCTTTCTTGAAGCGTTTAAGCTCAAGCCGTGCTGAAAGATGTGAAGGGTCTATTTAGAACCTAGACTGGTATAGACAACCTCTCATATGTGGAGTTCTCACTGGAGGAATAGATACGATCCTGGCACCGAGTCCCCGAGTCAGTCGAAACCAGACACGAAACGACGTGCGATGACCACCTGGCGGTATTCCAAGCTGGTGGCTCCTTTGGTAGCTTTGGCCACCTGGCTGTGCTCAGTGCCCTTTTTGGCTTCATGTGGGGAGTACCTGCACCTCCAGAGTGGGGGCAACAGACGCTTTCAATTTGCTTGACATGCAGTTATTGATAATTGTTGACACTTTAGGTCCTGGGCTTGAGCGTGAAGAGTTTTGGCTGCAATCGCTGTGGGAGAAGTGCTTGGCTTCATTTTCGCTGCAAGCGCCGTGGGAGACTGAGGACTCAACTTACCAGGGACTTCTGTGGCACATGGGAGACTTCACCCCAGCGGACTCGCAGCCTCCGCCGTGCATGGTTCGAGGCATGGTTCGTGCGGGGGTATTTCGTCCGGATTGGTTCTCATCGAATCTCATGGAGTCTTTGAGGATGTCGGAGTGTTTGAGGATGTCGGAGTGTTGTGGGCTGTTGGAGCGCAAAAGCACACCATGTGTGTTTCTTCATTCTCACCGTACTCTTTGCTGGTACCCTATTTTGCATCTTTGGTAGTTCCGAAGTGCCTTTGTCGTAGATCGGCAAGAGCCTTTTGATGTTGAGGGGCTACCAACAAAGGTTGGGCACAATAGCATTGATGGCTGAAGTGCAATGTATTATCAAGCAATTGCAAAATATTGCAAAACCTTCTGATAGGTGACCGCATAGTAGGGGCTTGACTCGAGCCCTGTCGGACAAGTGGCTTGACTTGAAGCTCAAAAGGGTGTGTTTACTCTTCCGAACCCGAGGTCACCAAGGGTCCTGAACTGCCAAGTCAGGGAGGTGGGGAGCTCAGGAGGGTCACTCGTTTTGATTTGCTGCCAAGGAAATGCTATGTGTTAATTCTATGACTTGTGAGTGGCGTTTGCAACCGCAAACGCAAGCGCTCGGGGGTTTGAACACGCAGTTCAACAGTTCAACAGTTCGACCGCTTTTCCGTCCACAGGCACTTTGCCGATCTTCCCCTCAGCAGTGGTTCTGTGGCCTGGGTGCGGCCCCTCAGGTGGAGTCGAAGGCATGAGGCCTTCAACTGTCGCGACTGCCAGAGCGGTTCCTTTCACGTTACCCACCTCAAGCTGCAATGGGTTGGGTGGCCAGAGGTAGTGAACACATTGCAACGTGGAAGGGTTCTGGATGGTGTGAGGGGCAAGCTCGTCGGCAATGCAGGGCCCATGTGCAGTTTGCTGTGATCGAGCCTGGACATCGCCAACTCTACGAGGAGCAAGTGATGTGAAAGAGCGGATGAGCAAATCGCAAACAGAGTTGCAGAAGCTGATGGGGAGGCCTGCCAAGCTTTCAGTCTGAAGCTGCCAGTTCGCATTCATTCGGACGCACACAATATTTTCCCCACAGCATGCAGGATCCGCCTTCTGCACCCCCAAAAATAACACGTATGCTGCAGCCTTTTTGGCCGAGAGCTGTCTCTGTCCGTAAGTTGCAGCCCATGTCCTGATGGTTTTGGATGAGGGCGGCCTTAGGCGGAGCGTCCTACAGCTGCCCATTAAGAGCACCCGGCAAACTTTTTGTGCAGCGAGCCATGCGCCAAAGAGGCTCGGAGGAAGGAACGACATGGTTGCTCGACTATCCACGAAGGCACTTGTAGGACTTCAGCTATTGTCATACAGATTGGCATAGAAACCCATTTCACTAGCCACTAGCCATGATGTTCAGTTTGTAGAGGAAGGAGTTTGTAGAGGGTGACAACAGACGGTGCGCTGTTCTCCAATTCTCCAACTGCGCTGTTCTCCAATTCTCCAACGCAGGGGAAGCGCTCTCCCATTCACCAACGCTCGACTTTCTACGTTGGACCTTTGGAAGCTCCCGACCGCGAAGGAGCCTGACACGCCCGACCTCAGGCAGACATCCTATCAGGGCGGCTTTTCAGCCCTGATGCTTTCAGAGGTACAAGTCCAATTTGTTCATGTTATATTTTTTCCATATTATTTGTGAGCCATCAATGTTGTCCGGAAAGGTGCTAAAAGCTAAACCCAGAACCCTGGAGTGTTTTTTGGATCTTTTGAGCAAAATTTCGATAGACTCAGTTAAATGCTCCTTACGCCAGGCAGCTGTCCTCCTTAAAGGAGCTGCATGGCAGTGTGGCCTTGTATGACAAAGCGTCAGCCTCTGGGCTGAAGCGCGCTGGCTTCTCCGCGCAGGAGTGCGCTGACACAAAAACATCTGAGATCATCAGAAACAAAAGCACCAGCTTGACTGCCTCTGGTAAACAGAATATGATGTGCATTTTTTTCCTAGCTTTGCTTCTGGCCACTTCCAGTAATGATGGAGATGGGCACAGTCCACAATCAGGTTCAGGCCATCTGGCTTGTTCATATACTTTGCGTACCTTGCCCAACAAACTTGCCGCAGGAGTTGCGAGAGGCGGGTTTCTCCTTGCAGGAGCTTAGGGATGCCGGATTTCCTGCTGAGGAGCTTACAGGGATGGGCTGCTCCATCAAGGCTGGGTGTGTAGGTGACAAGGTGTGAGTTTGTTAGGACTGAGTGGCTACACAAGGCTAGTTCTTTATGGCGATCTTGCTGAGTTCGCTCTGCCAAGGGTACATTTTGGTTATTTGGGTCAGTTGACCTTTGTCCTCCAAGGAGCAACTTTTCTGAATCTCCTTCACCCCAATCCTTAGCGTCCGGATTCATGACACCTCATCGCAGCCTAGAAATCAATATGGGAGCAACGTCGCACCAGATCACTTCGGATGAATAGATTAACATAGATTTATCATGCAACACCGGCACAAGTCATTCTCAGGTGACAACGAACAAACGCGGCCTGCCGCGACACATCATTCATGCGGCTTGAAGCGCGTCAAACACCCATGCATGCATCACCACAAATTGCCCAACATGCAACAGATTACCCGCATCCAGCTCAGATTGGTCAAAGCCATTGCAGCCATTTCCAGATCGGCCAAAGACCGCAAGCACTGTACACAAAGCTGTTGATCACCACACGTCCTAGCAACAGGTTTACCAAGATTTCAAAGATCCAAGCGCGTATTCCAGAGCAGGCTCGACAGAACATGAAAGAACCCATTGGGAGTCATCTCAAATATCATTCAGCTTCATCTCATCCTCTCATCCTCATACCATATCTCCTTTCTCTTCATCGTCCGTGCGAATTCAGATTGTCTCATCCTTCCTCAGGTATTCACACCGCTTCGCGGTGAAAGCCGCCCGCACAGATTCAATGGGCAAATGTATCAGTAGCACCCCACGAGGATACGA